ATGTTTGAAACACCTGAATATGTGGGTAATTTAAAATAATAAAGTTAAATGCTTTAAAACACCCGAGCAGCTGGGTGGTTTATAAGAGAAAAAAAAGAAAAAAAGAGAAAGAAAACGAGAGGAAAAAGAAAGAAAAAAAAAAAAAAAAGAGTTGTAGAAGAGAAGAGAGTATACTTTTATACTTAAGATATTCCTATATACCATCAATGATATATACAGTACCATCAATGATATATACAGTACCATCAATGATATATACAGTACCATCAATGACATATACAGTACCATCAATGATATATACAGTACCATCTATGATATATACAGTACATCTTGATTATACAGTACCATCAATGATTATACAGTACCAGCAATGATATATACGTTACCAGCAATGATATATACAGTACCATCAATGATATATACAGTACCATCAATGGTATATACAGTACCATCAATGATATATACAGTACCATCAATATATACAGTACCATCTATGATATATACAGTACCATCTATGATATATACAGTACCGTCTATGATATATACAGTACCATCTATGATATATACAGTACCATCAATGATATATACAGTACCATCAATGGTATATACAGTACCATCAATGGTATATACAGTACCATCAATGATATATACAGTACCATCAATGATATATACAGTACCATCAATGATATATACAGTACCATCTATGATATATACAGTACCATCAATGGTATATACAGTACCATCAATGGTATATACAGTACCATCAATGATATATACAGTACCATCAATGATATATACAGTACCATCTATGATATATACAGTACCATCTATGATATATACAGTACCATCAATGATATATACAGTACCATCAATGATATATACAGTACCATCAATGATATATACAGTACCATCAATGATATATACAGTACCATCAATGATATATACAGTACCATCAATATATACAGTACCATCAATGATATATACAGTACCATCAATGAGTATACGTACCATCAATGTTTTTAAAGCAGTACCATCAATGATATATACAGTACCATCAATGGTATATACAGTACCATCAATGATATATACAGTACCATCAATGATATATACAGTACCATCAATGGTATATACAGTACCATCAATGGTATATACAGTACCATCAACGATATATACAGTACCATCAACGATATATACAGTACCATCAACGATATATACAGTACCATCAACGATATATACAGTACCATCAATGATATATACAGTACCATCAATGATATATACAGTACCATCAATGATATATACAGTACCATCAATGGTATATACAGTACCATCAATGGTATATACAGTACCATCAATGGTATATACAGTACCATCAATGATATATACAGTACCATCAATGATATATACAGTACCATCTATGTATATTATACAGTACCATCAATGGTATATACAGTACCATCAATGATATACACAGTACCATCAATGATATATACAGTACCATCTATGATATATACAGTACCATCAATGATATACACAGTACGATCAATGATATATACAGTACCATCTATGATATATACAGTACCATCAATGATATATACAGTACCATCAATGTTATATACAGTACCATCAATGTTATGTACAGTACCATCAATGATATATACAGTACCATCAATGATACAGTACCATCAATGATATATACAGTACCATCAATGGAATATACATCCCGTAAATATATACAAAACCGTAAATGGTATATCAGTCCATCAAGGGTATATACAGTACCACAATAAATATACATTTACCATCAATGATACAGACCAACAAAATGGGTAATACAGTACCTCAATGATATTTTACAGTACCGTCAAGATATATCAGTACTCAATGAAAATTTCATACATCAAGATATTACATACCATCAATGATATTAAGTCCAAAATAATATAATCAACTATGAATATATACGTACCCAATATATACTACGTCAAGGGTATATACGGGCCCGTCAATGGTTATACAGTGCCGTCAATGGATATACGTGCCGTCAATTGTATTACGTACATCAATGATAATACAGTACCATCAATGGTATATAAGTCCATCAATGGTAATACAGTACATCAATGGTATTACGTACTATCAATGGTTATACGTCCCCCATCAATGGTTTACAATACCATCAATGATATATACAGTACACAATGTTTTAAACATCCCATCAAGGGTTTTTTAACGTCCCGTAATGGTAATACAGTTCATCAATGAATATCAGAAAAATCAATGTAATACAGCCATCGATATATTCTATCTCAATGATTATACAGTACCATCAATGCATATACAGTACCATAAATTATGCAGTCCATCAATGGTATTCAGTCCATAAAGGGTATATACAGTACCATCAATGGTATATACAGTACCATCTATGATATATACATACCTAAATGGTATTACAGTCCCGTCAATGGTATAAAAGTACCGCCCAAATATATACGTACCATCTATGTTTTATCATACCGTCAATGGTTATACAGTACCGTCAATGGTATTTACTCCCTCAATGGTTTATACGGTCCCATCGTTAAAATTTACATTTCCGTCAATGATATTCGTACCATCAATGTATTACAGTACCTCATGGTTAACAGTACATCAATGGTATATACGTACCTCTATGTATATACGTACCATCAAGGTATATACAGTCCCGTCAAGGGTATATACAGTCCGTCAATATATACGTACCATTATATTATACAGTACGTCAATGGATATACAGTACCGTCAATTTTTATATACAGTACCTCAAGTTATTACATTTCCATCAATGTTATGTACAGTACCATCAATGTTTATTACGTCCCAAAATGATACGACCTCAATGATTATACATCCCTCATGATACAGTACCATCAATGGATATACATTCCATCTATGATATAACAGCCAAAATGGTTATACAGTACCTCAATGGTTATACGTCCCGAAATATATACAGTACCGTCAATGGTATATCAGCACCTTCTGGTATTACAGTACCGTAACGGTAATACAGTACCATCAAAAATATTACGCCCATAAATGAACAGCCCATCAATGGTATATACAGACGTCAATATATACAGTACGTAAATATAAAACAGTACCGTCAATGATATATCAGTAAAAACAAGGATATACAGACCATCAATGATAAAACAGTACCATCATTGATTAACAGTCCCAAAATATATATACAGTATATGAATATAACAGTCCCATCAATATTCAGTACAGTAAAAGGGTAATACAGTGCGTCAATGGTAAACGTGCCGTCAATGGTATATACAGTCCCGTCAATTGTATATACTGTCCATCATATATATACGTACCAAAAAGGTTTTTGTAAATCAAGGGTTTTTAAAAAATTCCTCAATAGTATATACTCCCCATCAATGGTTATACGTACCATAAATGGTATAACGTCCCATCAATGGTTTTAATACTAAATCAAGGATATACAGTACCACAATGGTTATAAAATTCCCATCAAGTATATACGTCCCTCAATGATTAACAGCCACTATGATATATACAGTCCATCAATGGAAATAAAAGTACCGTCAAGGGTATATAAGTACCATAAATGATAATACATTTTAAAATCAATGATATTACAGTACCAATGAATAACTACCATCAATGGCATTACAGTACCATCAAGGGTTATATGCGTCCATCAATGGTATATGCACCCCATCAGGTATATACAGTACCATAAATGGTAATACAGTCCCATCAAGGGTATATACGTACCACTAATATATTACAGTACCTCAGTGGAAATTAAAAGTCCGCAAGGTTATATACTACCGTCAATAATACGTACCATCTATGTTTAAAACATTTCCCGTCAAGGGTATATAAAGTACCCAAGGTATATACAGTCCCGTCAATGGTATATAGATACCTAAATGATATATAAGCCCATCAATGTATGTCAGTCCCATCAATGGTTTTTAACAGTACCGTCAATGGTAAAACGGTCCCTTCAGTTGTATATCAGTTCCGTCATGAATAACAGTACCAAAAAGAATATACAGCCCCATCAAGGGTATTTTCAGTACCTCAATTTATTACGTACCATCAATGATAATCGTAAAATAAATGATATATACAGTAAAAAAAGTTTACAGTACCATCAATAAAATTTATACGAAACCAAATGGTTTATACAGTAACCCATCTATGATATATACAGTACCACCCTGATACTACATCCCGTAAATTTGTACATACAGTACCATCATGATATATACAACCATAAATGTTTTTTAACCGTCCCATCAAGGTTTTAATACAGTACCATCAATATATATCAGTCCCATCTATGATATTACGTACCATCAATGGATAACAGTACCATAAATGGTATATACAGTACCGTCAATGGTTTACAGAACCCATCAATGTATAACAGAAACTCAATGATATATACAGTACCATCAATATATTCAGTCCCATCTATGATTATCAGACCCATCCATGATACATACAGTACCGTCAATGGTATTACAGTACGTCAAGGGTATATCCCTAGTCATGGTATTACAGTACCGAAATGGTATATACGTACCATCAATGTTTAAAAAAAGTACCATCAATGAACAGTACCGTAAGGGGTTTTAACAGTACCGTCAAGGTATAACAGTACCGTAAATGGTTTATACATACCATCAATATATTACAGTCCATAAATGATATATACAATCCCATCAATTATATACAGTACCATTTAAAAGGTTTTTAACACACTTGCCTATGACAAAAATAAATAAAAAGAAAAAATTTTAAATACCAGCACAAGAAACTTTATTCAAAACTAAATCAATCAACACCAAAAACAAGTTATCCAATAGCAACAAAAGCAAATCCCGGGATGGGGGAATTTTAAAATAGGGAATGGGGGAGGGTAGTGTAGAATATTGAGGGAAAGGGGAAGGAAGAAAAGGTATTATTACCGAAGAAAGCGTCATGGGGGGCGGTTCATGGTGGGGGGAAACATCCCTGCCCTTCATGAGAGCCTTGAAGCTTACGGGAGGGGGTTGTCCTGGGCCCGGGCCCTCTGTCACACCGTCAGGTAGCTCGCCGGGGTCCTTCCTTGTCAAAAAGTGACTCTGAAAAAACCAACACCCCATTAACAAATGGAGGTACAGTGCTGACCCACGTGCACTCTAAATCTCACCCACCACAAGAAAAAAAATGCCCAAACCGTGGGCAACCGGTTTCAGAGAAGGGGCGGACCACAGGCAAACGGGTTTGGTCAGATGTGTATCCCTAATCCTTAATCGAGAGAAATTAGACTCAAGTGATAATTGCTGTTGAAAGGAGGACCAAACAGCCACGTCCTGCCCAACCTTGCTGCCAGTCTGTCGGGTCCACCACTTCCCAAGGATACATAACAATATGTACGAGGCCCAGGAAATCACTAAAGCAGACAACTGTATTATTTACAAAGGGTATAGGAAAGCGATCCTTTATTGGCAAATTTTCGCCCACACATGAAAATGAAATCACAACACCTTTGTTGGGGAAACGCCTCTAAATAAAAGCAAAATCGGAGTACAAGACAAACTCAAACCACTCAATGGAACCCCGAGCCAAATGTGAGAAGATCTAACGTTCAAGGAGCACAACAATGTTATTAGCGCAACCGCAGAAACGTAAGACTGGATAACGAACTTTCAAAATAAAAGATGCCAAGCCAATAATTTATTCTTCAGGTTACTCGTTCTCTCTAGGTTGGGATATTGCTGTGTACTAACGGTCCCCTTCAAGGAAGGAGAAATTACTGAGCTGGAAAATGTACCGAAAACCTTCACAGCTCAAAACTGTCAAGCAACTAAATTACTGTGAGCGCTTGAAGTCCCTAGAACTGTACTCCTTAGAATATAGGCGAGAGAGATCCATCATAATCTACAAATGGAAGATACTTGAGGGACTGATACCAGACCTGTACACCGAAACTGCTACAAGAGGCTTGGCAGACGGTGCAGGATACCTTTAATAAAAAGCAGGGGAGCGATGAGTACACCGAGAACTCATAAATGTTAAGAGACACGACGCTTCAACATCCTCTCTTCGTGGATTATCTGGATCACTAAAACCCTTGGCTGTCTTCAAGAGGGAATGAGGCAGATTTCTAAAAACTGTTCCTAATCAGCCGGGTTGTGGTGTATACGTTGGACTGTGGATGGCGGGCACTAACAGCTTGATCAGTGAGGTCAGCAACCAGGAGGCCTGGTCTGGGACCGAGCCGAGGGGCCTGTGACCTCCGGAAGTTACTCCACGTAAAATCTAGGGACAAGTCAGCGTGACGTATCTTCACCACATGTGTAAATATCTCCTTTAGAACTCTCTGTATACAAAATGTACACAAAGTCAGCAGGACGTAAACACACCTTCGCCTCACAAACATCTTTAACATTGCCTAAACATCCTGCCCTATACCAAACAACATTGACCTGCCTAGGTCGTGACGAGTCTGGGTCAGTTGAGTGCTGGCTTACCCACAAGTTATGGCACTCTTGCGTGTTCCCTGATGCGTGATCAGCGTCTCGGATGTGCCGAAGAGGGGCACAAGAAGGTTCCAGATGCCCACCTAGCGAGTTGATGCAGAAATCGTGAGAGGTGTGCTCACCGAGCCTCTCCTCAGTGGTTTCCTCGGTGGAGAAACATCACATTAAGTGATGTGGGGTGCGTGTATCTGCTTGGAGATTCTTTAAGATGACTTGAGGGGGGGCTGACCACTACCTACCTAGGGTGACAGACTATTCATATCACTACTATTGCTACCACCACCAGTCTCCAGTGTTGTACTCGTCTGTACTCCACTGAAGAAGCCTGTTGTGCAGGCATGTCTTTTCGACAATATAAGATACCCCAATGATGCACATATATCTTATTTAACCATGAACTTATTTAACTCTCAACTAAACATACCCATATCCGTTAAGCCCAGCCCCTCTACCTCAACGTACATGAAAAGAAGAGAACAAAGTGCGGCACAAGTTACTAATGAAGTTAAATATTAACAACGAAGATTTCAAGTCAATCAGACGAAGCAATATCGAAGTTTCTTCAATGAAAATATCAAGATGGCTCCTACACAACCCAACACTACTTCCAACCTTCCACCAAGATACACCAGTACTGAAGGTTTAATGGTAATCAGCAGAAGCATTTTATAATAATAATACAGACCAATATTTAAGAACAAGCACGTCAGACTTGCAACAGCTCGGAAGTTACATTCTCAAAGTATAGTTGTTTAAGGTTTGAAGTTGATCAGACGAGGCATTCACAAATTACCTCACGAAAACAGGAGTTCAAATTTTCCAATTTCCACAACATAACTGGCAAATTGGCCCCTACACGGCTAGAAATCAATTAAAAACTTTTTCTATAGCTACGCTAGAGAGAATTTTGAAAGTTATTTCTTGGGTATAGGTTCTGTTGGTGAAAACTGTTGGATTCTCTGCAATAACTAAAGAATGCCTCTCCTGGACAGCTTGTAACTTTGAATGTTGATGAAGTTTCATCAAAAGGGAGCTTCGTCTTAATATTTGTATTTATAACTCATTACAATTGTGACCAAGTGTGGACGTATCAGTGGTTCATTACTTTGTAATTTGTTCATGACTGTAACCATGTATAGGAGTGAAGCTGATTCATTACCTCTGTAACTTGCCATGATTGTGACCAGATCTACCTGGAGTTCATTACCTTTGTAACTAGTTCAGCTATCATAACTTTGGGGTCCAGTGTGTGTGTGTGTGTGTGTGTGTGTGTGTGTGTGTGTGTGTGTGTGTGTGTGTGTGTGTGTGTGTGTGTGTCTCAACAATCAATATTTGCACCAATAACTCATTACAGTTGTGACCGGGTGTAGAAGTGTGAATTGCTCATTACTCTATAATTTGTTCATGATTGTAGCCATGTACAAACGTAAGTAACCATTCTACAGAATTCATTACCTTTGTAACTTGTGAGCTCATTACCTTTGTACCTAGTTCAGCTATCAAAACTTTGGGGGCCCAGTCCCTGGACCCATTACGTACCTCTGTAATCTGTAAATACCTTTGTAACTTGTCATGATTGTGACCAGACCTACCTGGAGTTCATTACCTTTGTAACTTGCTCAGCTATCAAAACTTTGGAGTCCAGTCCCTGGACCAATTATGTACCTCTGTAATCTTCTGACTACCGCCCACAGGATGGGTATGGGGTGCATAATAAACATATTAAACTAACGTCTTGATGTTAGGTTGTGTAAGCTTTAATTTGCCAATATTTTTAATCAAATTAGTTTCCGTGAAGTAAAAAAAAGTTTCGTCTGATCAGGTCACAGTGACTGTATGGGGGTCATCTTAGGTCAGCTCTTCATAATGTATTGTACAAGCCTGAGCATCTCTGTGCCACCTCAAGGCAATTTAAAAAAAAAAATTGTATCCAGGGTTTAAATAAAATTTACTTACTTAATTACTTAAAAGCTGGCCAATCTTACTTAAATTAAAGTTTGGATAGAATTTGGTCTGTGTGGGGTCCCAGTTTTCTGGTTTCGGTAGTAATTTAAAACTGTGGTGTTCATGTGGTAACTGCCGAGTGTGGCATCCAAGCAGTTCCAACCCTTCAACGCTGATAACTAATTTCTCAGCGGCTTTAAACTTAATATTCTGGTGTAGTTTAGGATACTGGTCTCTGAGATAACAAGGGAGTGCCTCGTCGGTTTAGCATCAAAGCTGGAGTTTCTTAACGGAAGGTTTGAATTAAGACTCAGACTGTGCATATCATAATTTGTCATTTTCACTGAAAAAATTGTGAATGCATCTCCTGACTTGCTTTAATTCTTCAAGACTGTTTATTTAACTGCATAACAAGTGTATGCCACATCGTGCAGTGAGGTTGAGGGGGCTGGGGTTATGCAATACAGGGATACCTTTCTTGGATCGTGAAGCAACAGAAATGCGTCTAGTTTATTATTTTTATGGGAAAGCGCTAAATTCGTAGGGGTAATACAGCACCTGATTAATCAGATTTAATCAAGTTTGATGCAAGGAAATGTGAGGGTAGCCTCAAGTCCTTGGATTAAGAGCCTTCACCAGCATCATAGCTACGGTACCTCCAACAGCAGCCGCAACTATAACTACCCTTGAAGACGAGGCTGCAGCCCACCTCTAGAGAATTAAGCAGCCGAGTGCTTAAAGAGCTCTCACGAACCTAATGACTGACAGCAGTAGGTCAAAGCTCTAAGAGCCGGAGGATGCAACATTTCTGGCCCTGTCTTGAGCACTGGTCTCGAGCACTGCTTTGCAAATCAGCGTCACGCTCGCGCCAGAAAGCGAGGTCGGCTATGCAGTTGAGCAGAGTTTATGCAACCCTTACTTACCACTTAGACCTCTCAACTGCCTCAGTCAACTGCAACATTTCTCAAGGGCGACCCTCCGTACTGCTGGGATGTTGAGAGCACCAGACAGGAGTTTAGCAATGCGAAGGTGAACAAAGATTATACACAACCATGTAAAGACATTACTAATAACAGATTAAAAATAGTTTAAACACGCAGGCACGCGCACGCACACCCACCTAAGAAAGTTACATTATGAGGAGACTAAGGAAGTGAACCTACTTTCTGTGGAAGAGGGAGACATGAATACGACGTATAACATGAACTTAAAGTAAATAGGATATATTTTTATAATGCGAGAACCAGGTACAATTAGTCACACATGAAAGTCAGAAACACCGGCGAGTCACAGTCTCAAGGTAATAGGAAAGTGGAATGTGGAAGGGATGGAGGCATCGCCATACATAGTTTTAAGAGTAGATACGAGAACTTGAAAGGTCAGGAATCGATAATTCCAGTTCATGAAGCTTAAGAGGCAGGTCCAGGACATAAGCCAGATCTCAACCTCACAAATTTGAGTATCGGTAAGTACAAATATTTTAAGTTAAGGGGTCATCAGTAGT